CTCTCAGTTCGTTTCTGATTGCACACCCATATGGGAAACACACCAGTACAGCGGAATTGATGTCATTTCATGTATATATTTTGTCATGGTCCACCTTGTCCATGCGCCATGCCAGGTTGAACCATTTTGGACCGCAACTTCTCACCTTTGGCTTCAACCTGATGAACATCATCGCCTCGCAACTTCTGGCTTGTGCCGAACCCCCTCCCCGCTTCCAACACTCTTCCCCAAGCGGAAGTCGCCATGGTCCACTAGACGCCGGTGGACCCCCGGCCGCCTCATCTATCGACTGGAAGGTGATCATGGCCGCTGACTGGGCGACGGACACCGCGAGTGTGGCCAACGCGAGCGTGGCTGTGGCATCATAGGAAAGCCCGGAGTGCCGATCTGCCGGTCCCGGCCAGTGAGGGGTGGTATACCAAATGAATACATGAAGGTTTTGACACCTGGCCTGGGGGGGCCAGCTCATGCTGACGGATCAGTTTTGGGCAAACCTGACCACAGGAAAGTGCACGTGGGTTTGCACACCGAAAAAATGAAAACGTGGGTTGGGCAGATTGGTACGGTAATTAGACAATTTCAGAATCGACCACCTTTGACTGTGACTGCCACATGGTGACATATGTGGATACAATATGATACAATACAATACAAATATATATATATATATATTGAACTTAGCAACCAACACACCTAAAGCAAAGTCCACAGGCCACCTCTTGCGTGCTTCATCCCCTCTTGCGTGCCCGAACATCCTTGTCCCTATCACAATCCTCCTCCGTGCGACCGTCGACCTGACCGGTTTGCGTACTTGCTTCGGCTGACCGCGCCGCGGTGTGGGCGGTGACCGGCTCTGACCGGCGCCTTTCTGCCGTTGCCGGCGAGCACCTTCAGCCTGCCCTGCACAATGGTTCCGTACCTGAGCGGATCCGTCGCCCACCCAAGCTCGGCCACGGTGTGCCCTGTGGGACCGTCCATGGATCCGTGGGTCGAAAGAGACAGGGGCGGATCTAGAGGGGGGTTCCTGGCAAATGCCAAATGCCCAGACCTGTTGGCCTAATGATGTGTATATCGGAGAATTCATCGAACTGTGGCTCCACCTATATGGGCCCACCATATCGAAGTGACCAGGATCTCATCCCAACTCAAGGGTGTCAATGGGTTGTGAAGATGACGTTCCGAACGATGTTTCTCAATGTTTCTCGTGCCCATGCCCTGAGGTGAGCAGCTCACATCTCCAATCAATGGGCTTCCCTGCTCACTGAAGATATTCTGCACTGTACCCGCCTGGGCGGGAGCCATTGCCGGCCGCAAAAGGCGGACCAAGCGTGGGCGGCAAACCATCCACTGAGCTGTTGAGTCTCCACAGGTCTCCCAGACCTATGATAGCGATCCGCAGGGATTCAGCCGCCCAAATCAAAAGAAAAAACTCACTAGTGGACCATTCCTGAGAGCCTTCCATCTACTCAATCTACTCTAATATATGAGGTTGGAGGCCATCGCTACTAGGGTGGAGGCCATTCCTTCCATCTACTCCATCCACTCGACGGACGAAGCCGGACTCGGCTCCAAGATCTCACTGGGTTTCCTCGCATCGATGCCCTGGGGCAAGTCCGCGATGTACATGTTCGTGTTGGGCGGTGCCTAGTGCGGAAGTGGGATCGGATCGGCCTGAAGCAAGGAGAACCAAATACCACCAGACCTTCTGTGTAATGACTGTCGGATATGTCAAAACATGTCAAAACAATGTTCAAACATGTTCTAGTGATTTGTGATGATTTGTGGACAGGGAAGGTGGGAGGCCATCGCGACTAAGGTTGGAGGCCATCGCTAGTACACTCTTCACTCTTTGCAGCGCCGACTTCAGCACCGTGCCTCGCCTCCATGGCTAACAGCTAACGGGACCTTGCCTTCGCCACCTGCGCGGTCACGAGGGGACGAATTCGGTCATGCCATCATTGGAACCTGCGGAGAACATGATGGGGGCCGAGAATCTGAATGACATGATGCGTCCTGTGCCATTTCTGATTCGATGACCAACGGAGTGTGTTTGCGATGACCCGGTCACCGTCCAAAGCGATGACAAGTCCGCGCCCAAACCTTGATGGATCAAGTCCGCCTTCACACCGTTTCACACCGACATGGCCAAATAATACCAAATAGCCATGGGTGATCTACCAATCTCTGGATCTACCCTCCCTCCAACAATGAAAGCGGAGGGGCATTGTCCATTGGCAAATGTTGATTGGATATATATCACTAGCATCTCAACCCAACCACAGCAAACAATGAAGACTCGACTCCGTGGTAACCCAAAAAGGTCTAGCTTCGAGCCACGACCATCTATGCTTGGTCGCCCTATGTCCTGCTCTCGCTCCATCCCGGGACCCCTCCTCAAAACATGGGCCACTGTTCCGCCAGCGCGGCGGAATCCAAGAAGTGCTGCGAAGTCCAAGAAGCTCAATCACTCCACACCCTCAGCCCCTGTCTGTAGCTTTTAGCCACAAACTGACATCAAAGCAATGGAAAACGATCCTCGAAAAACTTTGCAAGCGAGTTCGGAACCAATGACACGAGCCATGCAACTCTGCCACGCTTGAAATCTGGAATGTCAAATCATTCGTATTGCCCTGGACACACATGCTGGACCGTATTGCCCTGATCCTGGAAGAAGGACTAAGGACAAGACTTGAAACACAAACCTCATATAAACCTCCCATTTGGGGGGAACCGGGGAACCCCAATTTGATGATAGGAGCGAGGGAGGGAGAGGGAGAGAGAGAGAGAGGGGGCGATGTGAACGCAAGAAAAAATCCCGCACGCGGGTCATGCCAGCATTCACGTACCCCGCCCCGGACGCATTCATTTTGGGTTCAGTTCAGCAACAGTTGGATCATGTTGGATCAATTTTATCGAAGAAACGGCTCGATGGTGCTTACAACGAGCTCAGGACCCTCAGCGAATTGCTCACACTGCGACTGTCGCCGAACATTATTGTTCACTCTAGTGCAACGCGAGAATGCAAGACAAGAAGCAGTCCCCCATATTGTGTTCAGACCGATTGTTTGATCGATGCCTTCGTGGACCAAAAGTGTGACAAAGGGTCATTTCCCGTAACATGGACGCTTGTCAGAGCTGGTGGTCCTTTTTTTCGCTCAGTTTCGTTCATCTGTTGGACAGACCATGTTCCTCTACAAGCAGGGAGGGTCATCTTAACGCTCAGAACTCCTCACGGCCATCAGGATGTCCGGACAGCAGCGACCAGTGTCCTTTGCAGCTACTTGAACCATGCCAATATGAAGGGGTACTGTTTCTCAAGACAAACGACCCACCCCTATACACATGGAAAAATCATGAAAACAATAGAATTTCCTCAGCTGGCCGCCCTGCAAGACTTGCGTCTAGTTTGAAAGAAACACAAATGATGTGATGTGTTCAAAGCCATGGTCATTCAAATTATCTTCTGTCATATCAACAAATTGACTGATGTGGGTGTGACTCCAATTGGTGAGCTCAAACAGCACTCAAAACATTGTACGATCTCTATCTATAATATAATAACTATATATGTAAATATATCGAATATATATATATATGTATTGCATATCATATTGTAGCTTCCTGTTTTACAACAATTTGGGCCTGTTGAGCCTGTTGATGAAATAAGCCAATTGTTAGAACCCAAAACTTCCCAAACCATTCTTCACGGCTCGCCGCTTGGGATCCCCCCCCGAACCACACAGACACGGACGAATCGTGCTCTTTGGTCGTAATTGGGTTGATCTTGGCGAGAGCCTCAGATCCTTCATACATCACGGCAGGATCTCATCATCTCCGTCATAACTCATAACCTATCTAGGCAAGCAGATACCGATCTTGGTCCATCTTGGTCCTATAGGTACTCTTCCAGTCCAGTCAGGACGGCTGCACAAGAAGGAGAGCTCGTTTTGTTCGGACGGCGTTTTCTGTGTCTGCGCATGTCCGGAGCCGTCCTCCTCGTCGGACGGCCACTTCTGATCGTCCTCGACCAGCGATCTCCAAAGACTCGACGACTCGAAGAGAACTCAGGATCGATCGTTTGAGTCGAGAGCGACCTTCTGATCTTTCGCACGTTGTCTTTTACAGTTGGGGATTCCGCATGGGCCCATGCGATTGAACATGCCGATGCCCGCCCAAATACAGAAAGGTGTGTAATCTGTGAGCACGCGATCCCCTGCGATCTCCCACAAGCAGTTCCGATCTTTTCACGATGCCTTCTCTGCTCGACGAATTGCATCACGGAAATCTTCGATCATCTTCGATCTTTGCACACTCCTCTGTGGCATTCCGAGGATGCATGGCGGCGCACAGCAGCTACGCATCATTCCAACATTCCACACATTCCACACGCGCCCTTTTCGCCAGTTTGGGCAAGGGACTGAGGCAGGAAGTCTGAAAAAAAGACCCCTGCCTATGCCCAGAATCTCCTGGAACCTGTCTGTGCCCAGAATCTATGAGATTCATTGGTGTCCAGGTACGCTGTCACTGTTCTCTGATCAACAAACAAACAGGCACAACATGTGATGCAGCATCCTTCTTTGGCTCTTCACCCGTCTTTTTCTCAGCCCTTTATAATTAGGCAATTATGGGACATATTTCTGTTTGTGTGGGCATGGCTTGGCGCTGTTACCTCATGCATACACTTCCACGCATAAACATAAACAGTATATAACTCCCCGTGCACAGACTGTGCAAATGTACTACAGTGACAGCTAGTGCGAGGGCTGACAATCTCTGCCTAAATCACCAGGCTGCTTCGCTTCACTCTCTCTCTCTCTCTCCCTCTCTCTCTCTCTCTCTCCCTTATGTGACGGACACACACCATAAACTGCTCTGAGTGTTTGGTTTCCTAGGTACCAAGTGAATACATTTGGAACATAGACATAAGATAATCTTCTAAGTGTGGGGTCGTTGACATGTTCTAAGTGATGGTATTGCAAACGAGAAAGAAATAGTATGAAATAGTCTTCTACAAGTGGATGTCCGTCACGCTACAACTTCAAGCTCAGAATTCCTGGATCAAGGGTTCAACATGAGCAAAAACGACAACCTGTCCACCATTGCGCTGCTTGAGAGTACCAAACTTGCGGTCTCTTGATCGTATGACATACTCGAGGACTTGTTCTTCGGTTGGAAACGCCTGCTCCTTCGGCGGAGGAAAGTATTGAACATTGGGAGCTGTACTCCGAGGCGGGACAGGCGGGACCGGTGCCTGTGTCGCCTGTGTCATCGGCCTTTGAGGGGCCGTTGGAGGAGAGTAGGCAGCTTGCGCCTGCTGCGCCTGCGGTGCTGCACTTGAAACCTGCGGGTTTTGCTGCCAGCTGCGTGGATTGTCCTCCAACATCCGCAGGCACGGTACCAGTTGTCGCCCAGGGCGCTCGTTGTTGCGGATCCAGTGCAAGGTCTCTGCGATGTTACCCAGATATGATACATGTTTCTTACTCACGACGTGGGCAGAATTCATGTGCTTGTTGCAGGCAGCACAAAGGACCCACTGGTTCCTCGTGTGGCTGAAGGGCTCAAACATGCAAGTACTTCTTGTCCGAGATCTTTGCTTGGGGCATGCTTGGGGCCTTTTTTTTTTCATTCGCATCCAGTCTAAAGCCTACGGCTCATGGAGTCGAGCAGCCGTACGCCAAAAGCTAAATTCAGTCAAGGGGCCTATGACGAAGACGCGAAAGCCCTCAACTGCATCACAGTGCAGTTCTTGACAAGTAGGTTGCCCCGGCTGGCGGTCACTTCCGGACACACTGGCAAACCTAAACGTTGCATTCCACCCGGGTCCTTTCTGGGACCCCAGTAAGGCAGCCTTCCCAACCGCGAGTCATGGACCCTACGAGCCTTCTGTATGGCCACGGCCCAATCGTGCAACCGCAAAATTGCTCTACCCCTCGGCTCAGAAGACAAGAACTCACACCACCAGCGCGTGCTCACCATGTCCATGTCATTCTGCATGCCCCACAGGAAGACGATACCCAGCAAAATGCCAGCGTCCATGTCCCTCCATTCGCGGTAAAAGGAGTGTACATCTTGCGCAGCCACAGCCGCTTTTTGGCACATTCCTCAATGGTGAGCAGAGTGTCCGAGTCTGACTAGAAAGAGACTCCGGAGTTCTCTAGCTCATCCTTCAAGGCAAGCAAATCGGTTTCAAGGGCGACAGCATCGTCACACTCAGCACCAAACACCTTAGGGCCACAAAGTGAGACGGCTTCAACCCGTCGTGCGCCAGCTAAAGAAACAAAGGAGTCGCCTGGGAGATCTTCACGTCCTTCTTCAAGCACCCCAAATTCTTGTAGCCAAGCAGCGCAAATGTTGGTCTTTGCTTTCCTGGAAACGTACCTGAGGCGCAAACTAAGTCGGTTCCGTGTCCAGTAGCGCCGCAGGCACACTGGGCAGGCGAAGCCGCGCACGTAGCCTGAAACGGGTGTACGCCAGGAGTGCGCCACCATCTGGCGCACCTTCAAAGCTTTCAAAGTGGGAAACCCCTGGCCGCAGTGACAGCGGCATTGGACTTTTAGCCACAAGTCCTGCAGGGTCTCATCTTCATCTCCTCGATCTGTGGAAAGTGGTTTGACAAGCTGAGTGACATAGCCATGCTTCCTGACGGCCGTCCGAAGCACGTGTTGCCATCCAGGCTTTCCTGCTTGCCAAGCCTCCCATAGGGCACTCACAGACGTACCCCAAGAAGAGAGGTCCATCACTGCAATCTCGCTCCGCCAACTGCATTCCAAATCATCCTCTTCCAAGAGAAGCTCCTCCTGCAAGAATTTTGGAGCAAAGCGAGCAATACGTGCTGCAAGAAGGAAGCGTTGCTGGGAAAGCTTCACCATCAAAGATGCACAACCAATCCTCTGAAGAATGGCCTGGTCAGTCAAAACTTCAGCTTCATGAGTCTTCATCTGGCCAAGTGTGCGCCGTAGCAAGCCAACATAGCAAACAGACAATTTGCGTGCGTCGGGGCATGTCAGACCGCTCCAACCCCCACAGCGGCCATAGAGCAACTTGGTGAAGACAAGAGTTTCCAGCAGGAAAACTCGAGTGGGTTCCCGCAGAGCCTTGTTCAAGAAGATGGGTCGAGCCAGCTGCCTGAATGTACTCCAGGCTTGTCCAATGCGTCGTTTGACCTCAAGTTGCGAGCCCCCAGCTGCCGCAACTGTAGTGCCCAAATGTTTGTAGGCATTCCCCAAGGCCAATTGCATTGTCGTAGAAGGCCGACCTACCTCCACCTTCACAAAGGGCTCGCACCGTAGCTGTTCCCGGAAGACACGTGCCTAAGGGCCAGCAAAGGTCACTGTCACCTCAGTCTTCCCCTTGCTCATGTTGAGCGTCATAACATGCTGGTGGAAGATGTCAAAGACATTAGCAAAGGCTTTCTGAATCTCAATCTCCATCTCAGCATTGTGTGCGGCGAGAAGCGGGACAGCAAGATCATCCGCCGACACCACCTGAACCGCCTGCTGCACGAGCTGTCTGTTGAACAGGGCTCGCTGCGATCTTGGCTTCAATCTGCTTGACGATAGGGCTCAGGCAATGAAATAGCGCGTCTGCCAAAGGGCTGCCTGGCCTCGATCCTCGAGCTGTGCACACCCCTTTGCCCTGGTAGACCATGTGAAGCCATGGAGCTCCCTCATCAAAACCCGGGAGGACTCCGTGGGCCTGCGTCATCTTTTCCACCAGCTCCTCCTCAAAGCCTCCTTGTCCCAAGTCTGCTGTAGAGCATGGAGATCTGTAGGTCCCCCAAGGTGTGCCCCTAGGACGAGCTCCCTGACCAGAGCGCAAGTCAATGAACAGCATGGCACTTGGCATCTTGGCAGCGTATGCTCGTCTCATCACTGTACGTACCAAACAGGCACTCTTGATGTTGGAAGCCTCCAATTTGGCCTGGCGGAGAGGAGGCTGAAACTTGCGCCCTCACTGGATCATGGAAGAGTGCATGGATCCTTCTAACAATGACCCCAAGCAGCATGATCCCGCAGAATTGCGAGGCGTTGGTGGGCTGGACCTTGGGCAGCATGTAGAGTGTCCCCCGCTTCCATTGGATAGGCTCATCCATCGTAGTCATCAGCTTCAGAACGGCATCATAGACGTGGGGTCCAATGGCACCAGCTGCATAATGTAGCCAACTGGATTCAATGCCATCAGGTCCACTGGCCTTATCTGGTTTGGTTCTCCGCAAAGATGTCTCAATGTGAGTCAAGGTGGGGAGATCTGTGAAGTGGCGGACACAATGTTCATCCACAACCTCCGGGCGATCGAGGACTTCTTGATATAGAGGTCCTTTAGGTTTGTAGGGGCGCCAGCTTCGAGAGCACACAAGTGTGGTTCCCACTGCTCGCGCATTGCCTCCTGTTGGTGAGCACTCCTGGTTTCTCGTCTCACTTGCATTTAGGGAGGTACAACTTGACCTTCTGCCAAAGTTCACGAGTGCTGCCCTGTGCATCCAGATCAGTCCAACTCTGTTTCAGCTGGTCGAAGAACAAGTTGGCATCTCTGCGGAGCAAAGTAGTCGCATGGTTCCTGACTGCATCGCCCAACTCCAGCCCAGAGTTCGCTCACAATCAGCAAGCCAATCCCAAGTTGGTGGTTCAGAGACGCATGCCCATGAGCGAAAACACACCCTCAGCACAGCCTGGAGCTGGAGTGTAGTCTTCCGCCAGGCAGCTTTCTCAAGGATGGCGGATTTGGTATCCTGGGCAAGGTACGACTTCCGATGGAAGTGTGGCCGGCTGGGCAGAACCGCTTGCACGCCTCGTTGGACACGAGTGGCCAATTCATGGGCATGTTGGCGCATGTCAAGATGCCACGGAATGGAGGCTATGGCAGCCACAGCCTGTTGCATCAGCTCAACACCTTGTCCAGGTTCGAGCCTTTGCCGCGGGGTGTGCGTCGACAGCGGACAAGCTCAGGTTCACCCCGTAGTACAGCTTGTATCTGCATGCAAGTGGCCTGGTGGTCATGTAAGTGTTGATGTGCTTGCAATCCAAAATCAGTCCAGGTGTGCAGCTTTGGAGTGGCCCATCTGAGAGGAATGGCCCGGTAGTCAAGACGGGCCACAGCACCATTGGGATGGATCCAAGTGCGCGTGGGTCCCGAATGGATGCCGTCAAAAGTGGCAGTCAAAAACAATCCGGCGCGCAGAAGGAACTCATGCAGTAGGCCACCAGCGAAAATCTCATCTTCAGCACCCAAACCACCAATGGCTTTTGAGGTGGTACTGCCAACCCTTGCATTGAAGTCACCCATAAGAATCATCTCCTTGTCACGCAGATGGGGCGGCACGATCTGTTGAAATTCATGCCAGAATTTTGAAATTTCATCATCCGCATGTCCACTGTGAGGTACATGGAGGTTGGCAATGAATACATCAATCGGGCCAGCCCATAGCCTGGTCAGAATGAACCCGTGAGAACTCGCCACAACTGTCCACTGATCTTCTTGCAGTTGTTGAATTTGCCCATTGCCATCCTTCAACTTGAAAAGCCATGGATTAAGAGCAAGCATCACTCCACCATGACCTCGCTGAGCTGGATGGCTTCGGATCATGTACTGGTCATCCCGGAATGCCAAATTCTTGAGGCGAGTCTCCTGAAGAGCAGCCAAAGCAGTATGATTCGTAGCACATAGCTGAAGGTAAGCTCTCAGAGCAATGCACGCAGACACATAATTCTTCTTGAGGGTCAGCACGTTGCAAGATATGAACGTGCCTGAGAGCATCACCTCATCAGATCGTCCGATGTGATCCTGCCAGCTGTCCAGAGTTGTGGCCACTTCTTCATCAGTGTGGAGTAGGCAGCACTAGGCTGTGTCCCTGCCAAAATGGCCTGAGATCACGTCGATAGAGTAGCCAGAAAGACTGAGTCCATATGCTTGGCAGAGTCTGTTCACATCTGAAGCTCGTCCAACATGCGTCAGTCTTGAAGTGATTGACTGCAGCGTGTTTGGCCAGGACATCTGCAGCTTCATTCCCTGGGTGCCCTGCATGGGCCTTGGTGTAGTGAGGCGCAACCACAATTCCACGCGCTACCTGCACCATCTGCAGAAGAGCCCTGGCCTTGTGGCATTGAGGGTCACAACTGGAGTAAGTGCAGACTCAGAGTCGAAGCAGAAATGGAAAGACGGCATGTGCATCCAGTGGCGTCCCACGGTCCGTGACAAGTCATGGACCTCAGCATGGTAAGCATCAGGACCTTCCAAGAGGTGATGCTGCAGGGAGCCTCCCCACATCCATTCCTCTCCCTTGCCGCACCCGTACCATTCTCATCCTTGGAGCCATCGAGGTAGAACCAGAGCTCATCCACCGCTTGGAGTTTCCACTGTGGAAGATCAATCCAAGCCCGGCTGCAGCCACGCCTTCGTAGTTGAGTGTTGAAGGAGGGTTGGACAGTATGGGTGTTGAACCAGTTCAAAGCCTCACAGGCCTCATGAAAGCTAATGCCAGCTCCATTTCCTATTTGCCCTTTAGTAGGACATGGGTTGTAGGAGGAACCCAGCTGTTCGTCCAAGCACAAAGGCGTGTAGGCTTCATGTTTCCCATGCTCATCAGCTAGATTTCTTCAACTTCGACTTGCCCCTCCCTGTGTGCCCAGTCCTCTGGCTCCAACCAATCATGTGTATCTTGAAAAGTAGTAGCTTTCAAAGTGCGGCATAGCCCATATAGGAGCGGGTTGTGCACAGCCTCTTTGGCCAGGGTGTCCACAAGGTAACATCTTGTTGCTCCACGGCCTCATCAAAATGCACCTTCTTACCCTTCCCTGGCGGTGGTAGTCTGACTGCCGCTGCCCTTGAGAAGGAAGTCAACCGGACCTGCAAGAGAGAGACACTGCTAGAGGATCCTTGGCATTCCTCACCGTCATCATCCTTTGTGGCAATGACAGTATATGAGCCACCCAGCACTGCAAAGCGGAGTTGCCTGTCAGATTCTGGCCACATAGTGTTGCCCTGCAACACAAGGCAAGTGACTGCAGCACAATGGTCAGTCAGGGCAAGCTCATACAACAGCTGCGCTCTTGTAAATTCAGCTTGAACCCGCAAGACTCTCTTTTCCTCTTGGTGTCTTCCCACTGTGTCCGGGACATTCTTTATGATTTCCACCATAATCACCCGCAACGTCCCGCTGGGGGCAAAGATGTACGAGTGTGTGACATGGCGAGGTTCATGGATCTTGGGATAGATTTCGACCAAGAGTGCATTCTCTGCTTCCATGCCAGGTGGGGCAAGTCCATCACGGCCAAAGACACAAGATCGTGCTGAAAGAAGCCATGCACTTGCCGTGCATAGGCCCAGCTTGAACCTGCAGTCTCATGTTGTCCGATGTCAAAAAGAGCAAAAATGTCCCCTTCCTCCTCAGCATCACTTGGACTGTGTGGTGTTAGTGTACAAGCCCGGCTCCGGTCCTCCACGTAGACATCAATTTCGGCCATCCCCGCAAGAGAACCTGATCAGTTCCAAAGGGTGCCACTCCCTCCAGGAAGCAGCTGCAATGCATCCAAGGTGCTTGACAAAGTCCTGCACATCCTGCTTGGGAGATGATTTCAAGACAAGTCACCGGGCTGGTCGTCGAACAGGCACAGTACGAACTTGTGGTCTTGCTTCAGTGCCATAGTGAACCACCACAAGAGAAGGCACACCTCGTTGCGGCCCTTGAACTAGGAATTTCAACATGGTCTTGATGTCCACCCAAAGCATCATCCGTTTGCGGAACCACCGCTCCAACCCAGATCTTCATATGGCGGCACTTCATGATGAAGAGCAGCCCGGACTCTGAGAATCAAATGCCCCGGTTCCATATTCATCTCATTTCCCCAAGTAGTGGTCCATGTTCTCATCCTGTAGTCCACATGCCGGATGAGGAGGAGGGGCGCTGACCCTTGTGCCCAGAGAAAGGCCATGGCGTCCAAGTTCAACCTCTCCAAACCACGTACTTGCGTGTGTGTTCTCGACAAGTGGTAGTTCTCAGTAGGAAATTCTAACTGCGGATGAAAGGCCTCAATCTGGAAGAAGGAAAACACATCAGGCTCAAGAGACTCTGTCTGCACTTCAGTGAACTCTGATGAGGCATCACCTGAAATTCCCTCGAGTCGCTCTTCTTCTATTGACGGAACCTCATCAGAGCTGTTGGTAGGGGAACCGGAGGCAGTGGAACCTGATGAAACATCAGTGTCCTGCTCAATCCTGGTCGGTCCACACCTAACTCTGACAAAGCATCCCGCCCAAACCATTAAGTTGCCTCCAAACTGCACCCGCTCAGGAAGTACCACAATGCATTCGCTTTCCTCACATCTGCATGGTGGCTCCCAAAATGCAAAAAGTTGCCGGGAATCAATCCTAAACGATGAATAGGAATGCTCCAGCAGGATGGTATCTTGCAGAACGAAGTGTTCTGTCACGACCTGCGTCATAATTGGCAAGCTGTAAGTGTGTTCGTCCTGGTACAGGATCAAACCTTGGATTGGGGGCCCGTCAGCAACACGATCTACAACCTGCACTGCAATCTGTCTCTCACCACCTGAGGGCTGAACAAATTGCAAGTGGCGCTGGGGGGTCGTGCAAAAGCTGGCAGGGACCCCTTTCAACTCTTCACTCTGTGGATAGTGGCGGGCATTGAAAGGATGTTTCCAGAGGCGGTACAAGCCTGCAGCCAAAATCTGCTTGCGCAAATACCAATTCATCGGGGAACCCCTAGCAATCTGCATGAGAGCTGCAAGGTCCTCCTTCTTCTCCACCTCTTCAACCTTCTCAAACCCATCCACATACTCATCATCAGCGGCAGTTGGGAGGGCTGCCTTGGGGGGGAAGGGCCGGCCGGTGGGTGTGAGCCATCCTCCCCCTCAGCACCTCCTGTAGTCCAGAATCCATCTGGCTCATACGTAGCCACTGGTGTGCAGTCACCATAAGCTTTCTCTAGGCAAATGCAAGCAAAAATCAAAACCCAAATGAACCTGAGGAGACCAAGTGCCAAGAAACATCGTGAGGAAGCTTGCCCTCCCCATTGTCTTTGAGCAGAGATCCATGGAAAAGGGGACGCAGCACTGCCAAAGCGCCACTTCCCAAGGATCTCCAAGGCCCGCACCTGGTCCTCTTAGAAGTCCCTGAAGAAGCATCCCAAGGAGAAACAGCGTGCAAAACAACCAAGAGCCTCCCAATCCCCATGGAGGCCACGGAGTGCTTGCTGCCCTCACTTGCTTGTTCCTTCTTCTGTCTTCACTTTTTTCGGAATACCACCAAGCTGAGTGTCCCCCTGCCGAGTCGGTGATCTGTGTGCACGACCAAAGGTCACCTTGGGCTGGTGCTCCATTTCTGCATCCCTCATGAGCTCCTCGTCTGACTCCAGGTCTACCGGCTCTCCAGGCTTGAACTCTGGTACGTCTGAAGCTTCTGTGACATCCTCCCCTGCACCCTGCTGAAGGGCGGATGTCCTGATGCGTTCTTGGATGTCCCCTCTTGGCTTTCACCTCCTCCAAGGCAGATTCCCTCTTCTTGCGGTAGTCCTCGTGCTCGATGCTGTACGCCATCTGCAGGCTTTGGTTGAACTGTTACCACTTGCCATCGACCTCTTTCAATTGAGCCTTGGCAGCATCGTACTGATTTCTTGCCTGTTTGGCCTTGTTGAGGTCCGTATGCGTAATCTCCAGCTTGGGGCCCTTGGGATTGGCCTTGGCAGCGGCAATGATGTCCTGCTCCAGCTTTGGGGCAAATGCTGACCCCATGCTCTTCTGCAAGCTTTCGATGTGAGCTCTGACCTCTCGTGCCACCTCCTGCAACTCGTCGGCTGGCTTGGGAGGAGGCGGCAACTGTGGTGGTGGTGGAAGTTCGAGACTGTCCTCCACCGGGACTTTGGCAAGCCGTCCATCTGGTGTCGATTTCTGCCATGGTTGACCCAGTCCATCCCACTTCATAAAAGAAGGCAGCATAGATCCCTGGGTCTCTGACGGCTTTGCCTCGTCCTTCTTGGTATTGTTCTGGCTTTTGCTGGCAGCCCGTCTTCTCTTCTGCAACTGGGATCTTGACTTTGCTCGGCTGCATTGTTCCCACCATCCACGGCACTTGGTGCAGTGCGTCTGCATGTAAGTTATTCGGACATTGGAATGCCGACAATCCCACTTCTGGTTCTGAAGGCTCATAGCTGTAGGGGAATGTGACCCGTGATGGGTCGTGAGCAGCTCCACTGCCTTGCGCGTCCGTCTGTGCGATCTCCGGCCCACAGGACAGATTCCCCCAGCTCTGAGATAGGAGCGGGCGCGGTGGCGCAACCGTCGAAGGCCGCGATGCCACCCTGGCTCCCTCAGACCCAGCCGCAAAAAAGAGACCACCGTAAATCCAGAGCGGCAGCGCCCAAACCATGAAAGGGCAGCTACCTAAGGTTCTCACCTAATCGATACCTCCAAGGTAGCGACATGGAGCCTTGCTTGGAGCCTTTAATCAGAAACAAAAAAGAACAGTCGGTTGAACACTTGTCCAATCAAAAAACATGCTCCAACAGCTCGAGCTTCTGCTCATCCACTGTCATGTAAGGATCCCTTACACAGCAATCTTCTGCCCCGAAGGCTCTGGCCTTCGCCATCAACCGCTCGGCCGGGCTCAACAGCGCCAGATCCACCGTCGGCACCGCGGCCGGCGTCGCGGGTGTCGGTGTCGGTGTCGGTGGCGGAAGGTCTCGGACGAAGTCTGCTATCGGTTGATGAAGGCGTTGGTAGCACAGCGTCGCCAGGGGTCTGAGGTAAGGGAGTCGTCCAAGTCTTTAAGGCAATAAACTGATGCCTCCCCCCCTCTCTCTCTCTCTCTCTGTCATTTCAGGGTTGTGGGGGAGGGTGAGATATAGCACAATTTTCGTATGAGGAAGCGAGTTCAATGACATAAACCATCATGAACCATATATAGTTCAGGCCCAGGTTCTTTTACAAAAAATGTTGACCAGGAGCTTGTGAGACTTGGTGTCTTGCAAGCCACATCCCCCCTCCACATGTGCATTGCAAGTATATGGTTCACTTTATACGAGCTGCCTTTCCCCAAATGTTTTTTGTTACCTCCCGCCTCAGGCCGCAATGACATGAAAGAATGGTCGGGACCTGTGGGTTGGACGAGTGATGCACAAAGAGCGCTAGAGCCATCGACAGTGCTGAGACCCGCTTCCGGTGCTTCTGGTTAGAGCCCGTCCCACAAGCACAGGGGCCAGAGGTGCCCATCGAGAGTTTCAGGCCAAAACCCTCTCCTGAACGGCTCACACCGTACACGAAGGCTAGAAAACGAACTGTCAAGGACTGACCAACGCCCAAGAAATGATGGGATGATAATTGGTCTTTCCTTCGAACTCTGGAGATGAAAGACTGTTTACAAGGGGATAAAGAAAATGAACAAAAACATACAAAAACATATGGTTGGGTCTGATGCCCATGTTTCACCGCTAAAGTACTCCGTTTAAATGGGTTCTTCGCTCCATGGCCAGGGGTCCAGGCCAAATTCCCATCGAGCGCAACTGGCTCAAGGATGCAGTGGCGTCCTCTTCGATGAGTTCCTGTCGAGAGATGTTGGGTTCCAAACGCGTCAAAGCCTCATCCAAAATATTGAAAGCGCTCCTAAGATCGAGTGAAGACGGGTGAAGACGGCCTGGTTTTGTGGCGGTTTGTTGAGCAAATGAGAGGAATGATCTGGGCTTGGAATGTCCAACAAACAGTTTAAAAGAGAAATAAGCGAACATGATTCTGGGTCGTTGGCTCGTGGGTTGCTATGTATGGGGCTGCAATGGAAAGCGTTTTATAGTTTTACCAAAAATATCAAACCAGCAAACCACATTGCTCCTGATCAAGGGTTGGCTTTTACGTTTACGTTTTGTGGGCAAGTACAGGATCCCTCCGCCAATCCGGGACACACGATCAAACAGGTGGAGCCCTTAAGCAAATCCCAAGATTCTGCAGCAATTCCTCAGATGGATCGATCTTTAGACACAGCATCCTCTGGCCTGTAGATAATGGCAGCCAGAATGCGGCATCATGTGGCACTGGCGGCGGTTCCATGCTTGTGGCTCGGAACAACAGTACTATAGTGTGTTCATGTCAGAGTGGTAGCTGGTGAAGTTCATGATGGGCATTTAAACACTTCACTATTTGTCCAACTGCTACACTTTGAGCCTAAGACTCCAGCGAGCTCGGTCATGGTTACATGACAAGCTGCAATGATGACTTCACTCCTCACCCCAACCCCCAGTATATTGCCCTAGCTCAACAAAGAAGACCTGTATAACCGGAAATCAAACCTGCGACTCGTCATCGCTTCGATCAGATCGTACCATAGCAAGCCAGCCACTCACAAAGTCAGTCTGGCTCTGGGAGGCCTCTCTGCTGTTGGCCACTGTCATCTTGCCGCAAGCTCCCTGCCGATGAATCAGCCGCCATTGAGCTTGCAGTGGAGCCAACTCTGCGCGCGACTCCTTGTACAAAGCTGAGCTCCGCGCGGCTCGTGACATCTGGAACCAGCTTCTTCATTGGTGGAACAAGGATCTTCTCACTTTTGCAGTCTGGTTTCGATTGCAGAAATGCCAAGGTACATCACCCAGAGCTGGTTAATCTACGTGCCACACTGAATTCACCTCAACTTCTCTGGGCCCGCACTAGAGTCACTGGAGTCAGCGTCACTGCAGCTACGATGGCCCTGGCGTGAAGAAAAGCTGATCCCGCCTGGTTGGGCTATCATGTTCGTTGGGGAACCAAGCCCATCGTCCATTTCTTCGATTTGTTCGGTTTCTTAAATCTTCAATATCTTTCATGTGGGGCCCATGCTTCGGGACGCCCACCATGTTGGATCTGAAGAAAACCATGAGTCATCAAGTGTCATTGAGTGTGAGCAATCCCAACGGCGGGCTTTCGGGAAAAGGGACCACCGCACCTGATAGCAAGATCTCCTAGCCGCAAGGGGTCATGCGACGACAGTGCCGTGGCCCAAACGTGGGCATTTGTGTCAGCCACCTTCAAACTGGATCCATTCATCCTTCACGCACCATCATGGCTTAGGGGATCCCTTCACTGTCCCCCCCCTTGCAGTGACCTCCCCGACAATAGGGTGCCTTTTTGGGGGGGTGTCATTTTTTGCTGACGACCGCGGCCAACATCATGAACCATCTACTGTGCTTCTGATGTAGGGCCATGGTCACAGCACTCGGTTGTTTTTACCAGAGCGACTCTTTTCGAAACACTTATGAAACACAACATATACATAGTATAAACATACATCATTAAACACCTATAGTACAAACAGGTATGAACCTTCGGTGTGAGCTTTCTGAATCTCTGAGTCCGGACATGATCGTTGCTTCCACAGCATGACGCATCGACTCCTTCCAGCTATGGCCTTCCAGCTGTGCCTGAAGAACTTGGGCGCGCTCGGCCAAGACCTGCGTGACGCGATGAGGAAGACTCGGACGCGGTGCCAATTTTTGTGAGCAAAGTCCTCCCTGCCAGGTAGTAGAAATGAAGAGCTTGTTAGGGCTTAGGGGTTCATCCCAAAACTTGATAAAGCCGTTAAACTCGAGTTTTGCATCGAGCTTCAGAAGCTGCCAAGCACAGCAAAGAATGCCTCCCTGTGCTCGCAGAAACGAAAATAGGTGGGAATGTGCATTTACATTTGCTCAACAAGGGTCCCACCTTTATGTTTGCCATTGGGGATGCACGATGGCGAAAATCAGTGACACCAATCTACGGCACACTTGTGACTTTTCACATCCCAACCACCCAGTCGTGTACAGTGTAGTAAAACCACTGGGTTTGTTTGGTTGAAGGCTATGACATACATGGCACTTGGACTATTCTAGGCTAACCTTCCGAACTTCACCAGTTCGGGCTTCGTGGGGGTGGAAAGAAGCAAGAGTCCCAAAGGTTCGGTGATCAGCTGATCCACTGAGCTGGGTGGGACTGCGATCCGCCTTTCAACCCCGAAGACCTGGATGACCCCGGGAGCGACCCATCCAGGCCGATGGTCGCCTGATCCAAGGCGAGGGACCAAGCTGCTTTGGGCGTGCAAGCCTCTCCTGCGCTGAAGACTCGGACTCTGAAGTGGAGACGAAATCGTTTCTACACTCTCTGGACAGCACATCCTCACATTGTACTTCATGGAGCCAAGCTACTCACCAAGCACACTTAGACATCTTCTACGCAAATTAGTATCAGTTGCTTGTCACTCATAGTTCTTTCTGGCCCAGCGAGCTCGCTCCGACCGGCTCCGCGACCCGGCTCCGTGACGGACCAGCCGAGCAGCAGAGCCTCGGAGCAGCTCCGCTGAGTGGCGCTTCTCCCAAACCGCGACCGACCGCAGCGACCGCGACCGCGACCAGACAGAGTCGGTGGGGTGCCACGGACTCGCTCTATCTCGCTCTACCGGGAAAGGAGAGATTGGGGGTCAAAAACTGTTCCCTCTTCTGACTGCATGCTGAGTAGGGAATGAGGAAATGGATCGTAATGGATCCAAAGGCATCTGGTTCTTAAGGTCTTGGGGTTGGTTCCCTCATTCCTTACCAAACACCAGTCCCTCTTTGACCTGGTGATTCCAAATTGACCCAGGTCTTCCTCCGCAGACTATGGCAGACCCTCTCAGACCTCGACCCTCTCAGACCTCTGTTTTCCTCCCTCCCAAAACACGACGGAGAACCAAACAAGCGGAACATGTGCTGTGCATCTGCAAACCGCGATCTGTGAGGCAATGAAGTGAAAAAGGAAGGGTGATTCAACTATAGGCAGGACACATTCAATCTGAGAGCGGATTCAATCTGACCGTCGCTTGTGCCACTGGGTGGCCAAGCCAAAGCAACCGCCAAGCCAAGGCCCCTCAGCTGTTGACCCTTGAAGAAGCAGCCCAAGTGCAGGGAGAATCCCTGGTGTTGATAGCAGCTTCTTCTTGGGTCAACTGCCCATAAGCCTGACAAAACCGATTCGGACTCTGCTTAAAGACATCAATCGAACGAGGCGGTTCACATCAAAGACATCAAAGCATCCTTAAAAGGCGGCCGGGATCATCCCTACTAGTAACAAAGCTCACAGCCTGACATGTCTGCTGGACCTGTTTGAAACTCCATACTTGGCTGTGGGTCATAGCACCCAGACCCCTAAGAGCTCGGTACTAGTATGATTAGTATGTTGACCTCCCTAGTAGTCTAGTCTGTTCATGTTCGGTGGTCAAACAGGGTCCCCCAGTTTCTGCCCACAGCCGCTTTTCAATGATTGGATGCGGCACCAGCGGCACTTCGCCTCATCAAGGGACAAGGGACGAAGGACTTCAGCCTCGCAGCGCCTTGGACGAAGACCGACCGGTCCGTGGTGGCGCAGACCGGTTGCGCGATAGCAACGAGTGTTTTTGGTCCGAGGGTCCAACAGTAACTGACAATGGTTGGGCTGTAGAGCAGTTCACAAGAGTAGATCTTCTCCGCATCTTCTCGAGTTCGCCTAAGCCTTAACACCAATCTCCAAGGCCTCCACAGTGCCGCCAGAGCTTGCCAGAACATTGAGCCTAGCTAAGAGCCAAAACTGCCACACTGCCCTTTGGGTCAGTGTCCAAGAGCACCTGCTGAGAACAAAAGATGTTCAGCTGCAAAGAACATCTTGCTATCATGGAAGCATCCTCAAGCCTAGATCTCAACAAGTGATTGAAATATCGCACATCGATCGAATAAAAACAGCTGTAATGGTCCATTCGACGAGCGGAATAGTCAATACTCCCGCAGATGAACCCCCAAACCAGCCAGTTGAAAACAAATGAGCTTCCAGTCGGGGCTGGGCTGGTTGTGTGCCGGATGTTCAGGGTCCGTGACAGCCAATGGAGGGCAGGCGAGAGCAACTTGTCACCAAGAAAGGGGTTGAGCTCAAAGGGCCTTTTGCTGCCTTGCCATGCCTTGCTCCCTCGGGCAAGACTGAGATGCAAAGCTTTGCAGAGCTTCAACTCATCCCGGATCCCTTGGGGATCCCCAAATTCCTCGGCCATGGCTTGTGCACAGTTCTCTCTGACGGTCGAAACCTGTTTGTCAATTATTACGAACACACTATCAACTATCCTCCATTCTCCTATTCTGTCTCATCGTCCAATGCTTTTCAAGACAGGAAGAACCAACAGGCAAAGATCGAATCAGCTGCCTCTTCTGCTCTGCTTCGCAGAGAGACTATCTCAAAAAAATGGCAACGACTCACTCGACCGTGAGGTCCAAAAATGGCTCCTCTCTCGAGTGCATAGCTTAGCTGGCTGAAGCTGCAGCTGCCAGCGGAAACCGGGACTTCAATGCCAAGACTCTCAATTTGAAGCTACGGGAAATTAAAACCAGAGCGATCATCAATGTTGCTTCGGACCTCGACTCGGGACCATGCGTCACCCATTTCTAGCGAGATGGATGGCAAAAACCTCAAGACTCCCTTTAGAAATACAATGGACATCCAAACAAAGAGCTGCACTTCCAAGGTGCTTGGGTTGTCACCGACAAAGCTTGGGATGGGTGTTTTTGCTGAAACATGCTGAAACCCACTGCTCTGCCAACTACCCACCCAGTCCGGCTGGACCTCAATGCATCAAGAGGAGAGCCCACCTGACTCCGCGGAGCAGGAAGAATGTACCCCTGGGAAGCTAGGCGGCTGCACTAACTAGCATTGCGGCTCGTAATTTGTGTAATGGGCTCAGTGAGCTTGCATTTGCATCTGATTCCAGCATGTAATTGTATTGACTTACACTGTCACGAATTATACAATATCCGAGACATATCGTAATGTTTTGTGAGTAAAACCATGTAAACACCAGAATCACTTTCAGATCTTAGTCTCCGATAGAAAAAGGAGGTCTGGCTTCACCACATGTTGCCCCCCTTCTCCGACCCTTTTCGGGCGCCTCGGCTGGCGTTGCGGGTCAGGCTCGGAAGGGCGCGCGGACGGAGGGACGCCGCACCTGTGCGGAGTCCACCAGTGAATCCACAGAAGCTGAATGAGAAGGGACATCAACATCAGCTGGCCTCTCCAACCTAGAAGCAATGGCCTCCAACCCTAATAGCAATGGTCTTCAACCAT